GATTTTGTGGATCAACGTAGTTTCCAACAGTCATAACACGTCCAATTAGATCTTATCGCAAAAAACATTAAAAGGCAAGTCAACACTATAGCGATTTACACCTTACAAAATATATAATGTGTCATATCACAAGAACATACATAATACCAACAGCTTACCCACACTAATGTTAACGTCGCAGGATCCATCTATGATATATTCGAACTCGGTAAAAGAGAAGCAATGATCTGAGTTATCAATCAAAAATACACCGAAAGACGTTTACAGTTTACAAAATATCAAAAGAATGAGAAACAACTCTATATATACGCCGAACCATATCTCAAAATATGTCTTTATTTTATTTATTTTTATAAAATTTAAGCAACGATAAGATTACGGCAAAACAAAATAATATTGTGTTATAATTAAACCTTTATTATTATAACAAATTTGATATATATATAATTATTCTTATATCATTTATTATATATTGCTTTTATTAAAATAAGAAATAAGTATGCCCCAATAAAGAAACTAAAAAGAAAATATGATAAATAACTACTGTCTTGTGATCATCAACCAACAAACCCTAATGCATGGTATGCACTTCTAAACGAATGATACACGACTCCACCAACAGTCCTAATATCATCAAAACTACATGGACCCCTAACTATGTCCAATAAGAGCCTCAGATAATACTCTTTTTCGTACTCTGTCGGCGATTCGTTCACAACACACGCATCAGAATTTCCCTTTAATCTTGGTCTCCATGTCTTATTTTTACGATCCCATACAAACATAGAAGGAATCTCCGAGTATAAAAGATTCCTCGCCTCTGGATAAAACTGATTACACCTAAACCAAGCAAGGAATTTAGGTTTTCTGGCAGGAACACGTCTATTTAAATTATTAGAAAACGAAATATTTTCCCCAGGGAGATGAAACGGCATAACTTGCCAATTAACACGTGGTCGCCTGTGAGCACCTAGACATGGACAATATAAAAACAACCATATATACGATAACAACAATCAATCAAATACTGTAAAGAAAACTAACAGTTATTGACGTCTCTAAAAACGTAATACAAAACTCATTTACCAAACGCTTCCATCAAAGAACCCGAATGCAAACAAATCTAACAATGTAGACTGGTAACTCGCAAGGTCATGATAGATGCATATATATACCTATGCCAAAATATATGCATATATATAGAGATATAAGAATTATGTGGTTTACGCGTTGTTTATTTTTTTCTAGGGTTTCTTAGAATTTTTTCCTTTAATAACATTTTATACATTTTACCGAATATACTTTTTCACAGAACTTTTTACCTTTTAACTACTAATTTTTTTCCTTTTTAACAAATAATTAAATAATCAATTATATATCTTGTAACTGATAAAAGAAACACCATGATTTTCATAGTTGCTAAATGGAAAAAATTAAAAGTTGTGATATGATCAGGGATATCTTCGAATCCTCTAAAATATTTATAAATTTGAGTTAATTGGAGTCCAAAAAATCAATAAAAATATGCGTTATTTATATGTATATATAATTTATATTATTTTCTCCGATATTCACGTTTCAATATCAAACAACAATAATAATGACATTAAACAATATATTTTATTGATTAAAATACAAAAGTCTGATCGACTTACATTTAAGACACGACCTATCAGACCTTCATAAACAATAAAAACTAAACCATATTAACATCAGCAACATAATAATAACAAAATTCAATAACTAAACCGAAAATAAACACACCAACTAAATAGTCATCATCATGGGCACGGTCCAATATCCTTTGAAAATCAACGAAGTTAAAATAAGCGTTTTCACATCTACGTGAAGTCTTGTCAATGATAGTTGATGGTAGGAACAATATTTTTGTATCTATGAGAAGTCGGTCTACATCTATCCTCACAATCTATAACAGAAAAACGACTGATAATAATCCAACGACCAACATCTATGCGAGACGATGCGACACCGATCTCACCATCTCTAACAGTGGCCTGAATTCTAACACCCTGTGAATAAAACAGTCAATTAGACACCAACAAATTTTTATAATATTTTTGTGTAATAGTACAATAAATACCTGTTCATCCGATAATATGAGCTCCATGGAAGAACGTTTCGAAACTAGCATATGCATCCACGTCTGTAAAACCTTAACAAAGATAGTACAACCATCTTTGGAAGGACTCAAACGGGACACACACCTTCCAAAAACACATTGAACCAAGAGAAACTGTATAAGTACACACCGAATTCTGGTGTCCCGATATACTATTATTCTTTTCGATGAGAATATCACTCGGTTCGACGTTTCGCTGATCCTCACTATCATCGTCAATCTCAGTCTCATCATCCAACATAACATCTTCATCATCATCTTCATCATCATCAGCCGAATCAGCATCGTCATCATCTTTATCTTCGTCATCACTGCTATCACCTTCCGAGTTATCACTTGAACCATCAGATCCTTCACAAGACTCACCTTCGTCAATAAAATCATCTTCAGAATCGTATTCATCTGTTTGGTCCATATCATCAGTATCATCGTGCGACTCTGGATCAGACCCCATATAATCCTCAAAACCATAATCATCATCAGTACCACGATCAGAGTCACTATCTTCTGCATAGATAAATATATGAAAAAAAAACAACGTAGTTAGAATTCAAAAATAAATATCAAAAACGAAAAAAAAGGAAAAAAAACGGTGCTCAAAACAAAAAACGAAGAATTGAAACCATTAGCTTCTTTATTTATAACCCAAGTACTCCTTGCAAAATCCCATAGAAAGGTCTTGTGAGCGTGATCGCTCGTATTAACACAATCAGAACCTAAATGCACAAAACAAACATCAGAACAAACATAAATATGTATAAAAAATTAATATACATCATTAACAAAAAATATATTACAGGAAGAGCAGAAATACCTCCTTTGATAAAAAAACTTGTGATCAAGCATAGATATATAATACGCAGAATCAATATCTACATAAAAAATGAATACTTTCATAGATTAATATATAGTAAAGGTACAAATTTGAAAGACTAAGATATAGCACTACAAAAGGTACAAAACTGTAAGATTAATAGACAGGACTACGAACCTTCGATAGCAGGATTATATGTCCGCAAGGTCCATTCGTCGATAGCAGGATCCATACACAACTTGCATGGATAACCTAAAAATACAAAACAACTACTAATAAGTAATATAACTTGCATGAATAACCTAAAGAGGCACAACAACCTTGTTTGTGATATCGACGAAAACGTATGGAGTTACATAACGTAAATCAGTCATTTCTTTGTGATCCATATTCTGACGATCCGAATTCAACACAGATCTTAACCTGTGAGCATAAGCCTGGTTATCAAAACCTATGGTCGAAAAAATCTTTAGAATCGTTCAAAAAGTAGAGAGTATATATATTATTATTAATTTGAAGATAGCTAGATATATACCCGAAGCAGTACACGGAATTTCCCAAGTGATGATGACTTTAGATGGATGATCAAAGTTGTACTTAGACGAACACATAGTTAGGTTTGCATGCAAATAGACAAACATGATGAATCTTTTCTAAAGAGATCAAAAACGTTCATGCTATTATAAAAACCTTAGCAAAAAAAAACACGGAACTCTAACAGAAAAACTAAACTGTAAATTATGAGACGATTGGTTGAAAACACTCATATTTATACGTCTAAAGAATCTAGGGTTTATTTTCTTGTGAAAAATACTAAAATGTAATTCTTGTTTTCTATACGAAATTATCTTCCCATGAATTTCGTAGGTATTAATTATAAAAAAATGTAAAGATTCCATTCTAGATAATAACAAAGAAAATTATGACATATTTCCTTTTGCAAAATATTTAACAAATAAAAATTATTTCCAAACATCAAATTGTATCAATAATCTAAAAGTTAAAAAAAAAAACTAACCACAGGATTCGAACCCGTGAGCATTCATTAAATGGGCAAAGCACCTAACCAACACAGCTACCATCTCATTCAACATAGGCGACATATTGGAAGGTATGTATACTGTTTCTATATTTAAAAATTTGGTTGTTGGGCTACGTTATTCGGCAGTTAGAAATACGGCCCATGTTCTAATTTTTTTAAAATGATATTAGCATTTAATATATGGTTTAATAAGTATTTAATTTATAGTTTAAATGATAAAAAATAGTTGATCGACCAATCAAATTATAACGTGAGATGACCAATCAGAATCCACGATTTTTATTAATCAAAACGACACAAAAGCCTGTGCATTAAACCACAGCACGATTCACTACTTAAATACTATAATAGATGAGCAAAGGTGGCTCTATCCATATGCTGGAGGTGCTTTTGCACAAGGTTTAGGGTCCAAATTTTAAAATTTTACACTATATAAGGGTCTAAAAATTTTGAAAAAAAAAAAATAGGTATATCAGGGGCTTTGTTTTTTTTACAGCACTGGGTCTCATCACTGTTTGAGCCGGCACTTATGAGGCATGACTATGTATCTGATCAGCGTGAGACTGTGTTACCGTCTTACCTTGAGTATCGAATGATGATTGCTTACATGGCTAGGAATAACTTTTTTACCAAGTATTAATACGTGCCTCATTTGTGAAATAATAATGATCAAGGTCGTCGTAGGACCTATGCGATTAGAGTCTAAGAACGTTAGACTAGACTAGTGATTATCGTGTGAAGTGGGTTTAGAAAAATTTCTAATTTTTTTTAATAAGTTAAAAAAAAAACTCTTTTATTGATGAAAAATAATTGTAGGGTTAATCTCACCCCATAAGCTGATACATTATTATTACCAGGTGAGAAAAGCATTGAAATTTCAAAGTTTGTGTGTGTGACAGAGGTTTGGAAAGCGACTGGTGTACGGACATTGCAACAACTCCTTATAAAGATACTTTGTTAACACACGAAAACAGAATCTATTCTCAACACTACACTAAAGACAACTGTACCAACCACACAACCACAAGAGAGAGAATGGGGAGGAGAACTAGTAATAGTGTGAAGAAAGATGAGTTAAACAGAGGAGCTTGGACTGATCAAGAAGACAAGATCCTTAGAGATTATATCATGATTCATGGCGAGGGCAAATGGAGTACTCTCCCGAACCAAGCTGGTATGTATCCATCTATCTATCCGTCTTTGTAAATTTTTATAAACGGACAATGATTGTTTCCGCGCAAATAAAGGTCTCAAGAGGTGTGGCAAAAGCTGCAGACTCAGGTGGAAAAACTACTTGAGACCAGGCATAAAGCGTGGAAACATCTCATCTGATGAAGAAGAACTCATAATCCGCCTTCATAATCTCCTTGGAAACAGGTGATTAACTTCCTCTTACACCGAAATACCGATTTTTATCCAAGTAAGCTATATTTTTTTATAATTCTTGTGGCATAATGCAGATGGTCGTTGATAGCTGGGAGGCTTCCAGGGCGAACAGACAATGAAATAAAGAACCATTGGAACTCAAACCTCCGGAAAAGACTTCCCAAAACACAAACCAAACAACCAAAACTTCGAAAACATTCGACCAACAGCAAGAACAATGTCTGTGTTATACGCACAAAAGCGATTAGGTGCTCAAAGGCTCTGACTATTCAGAAGCAGAGTAGTAGTAGTAGTACAAGTCTTCTTCCTCTGAAAGAACAAGTGAGCACTGAGATGGATCATCAAGCTGGTTCTTCGTTGTTGGAAGATCTCGAAATTGACTTTGATAAAATTCAATCAGAGTTCCTCTTCCCTGATCTGATGGATTTTGAAGGTTTGGGTTGTGGAAACGTAACATCTCTTGTTTCATCTGAGGAAATTTTGGGAGAATTTGTTCGTGCTGATGATTCTTCTTCTCAGGGCAATCTTGATCTCAATAGACCTTTCACTTCTTGTCTTCATCGTGGCGATGATGAAGATTGGCTTAGAGACTTCAATTGTTAGAGCTTATCGCAATTCGACATTATTATTACATATATCTCTATACCGCTATACGAACAAAAGTATATTTGTATTTTGTTTGAACGCTTCTAGTTTCTAATGACTAATTTCTAATTTTGCTCTGTTTCTCTTCTGAATCCATAGATTATCAATTTTGCACTCTTTTACCAAGGAGACCAGAAAAATAAATATTCATGTACAATTCAAGACTTATGGAAATGACTTTTGTCTTCAAAAATGGAAATATAAATTGCAAAATATCGCAAATACGGAATGAAGAATTTTTTTGTATAGAATTTATTCAATTATTTTGTGCATGCGCAAAATGATAGAGCTTTTATTATAGCCTAACTACCGCTTAACCACCCTACCCATAAATTTTACTAGCGTCATTGTTCTTGGTAATACGAATCCACTTTACAATATTGTATCAAAGAAATTTGACTTTAATATGCATACATATCCATTTATAGACAGACACGGTCATAAATGTAAGGATTTTTTGTTTTTTTCTCATTTTTAAAATCATTTTATATATGGTTATTGTTGGAGGTGATAATACCCGTTTATTAATCCGGCAGCGACACATGAATAATCTTGTCAGAACTGTTTTAAGAGCAGAGTAAAAAAAAAAATTATCTGACCTCCAGGAAAAGCTAGCCAACATACGATTAATCACCAATGTTGGATCCGACAAAATAGGTTTTCTGAGTCGAGTCTGATAGTCATTTTCTGGACTTTTCCGTTGAGTAAGAACACAAAAGTACTATTTAGGAAGAACTATTATTTGACTTTCATAAGAATATGCTATACAGGTTACATTTCCTCATAAATAGATGGAGAAAGACTTGTGTTTCTTAAATTAAGATAACCATAAATGTAAGTAATATATTTCATAAAAACTATAGATTCTTTTTTTTTTGAACAACCAATGCATTAAATACGAAACTTAAATGTCTGCAATGGAATCAGCAACAGAGTTCAGCGATCTAGAAACAAAATCGAAAGAAACAGAAGTGAAAGAAGCAGCGAGCGATTTGATGTCTTGGAGGATGCCATATATCTCAGCTAGGAGGTCTCCCGACCTGATTGCTCTTATGAGCGTTTGAGCATCTGAATTTAGGTGGAGGATCTGCCAGTTAGCAGATCAGGCATGCATGAGGGCTCCTTAAATTGCAATTGCCTCTGCGGCGAGAGGGGAGCTCACAAACCTTTCAATCTTTGAGTGTTGGCTAATGATTTGGTGGTGTGGATCTGTGAAGATCCAACCAAGTCTGGCCGCTTTATTCTTCGATTTCTAGGCTGCGTCGGTGAAACATGTAATGTCTTTCGGATCTGGGATTAGAGGGGTCTGGATCTGTCGATTTATTGCTGGTTTGTGTTGCTTTGCTTGTGCCTCTAACCATTCTCTTGCATCAGAAATCGCCTTTGTGATGGTCTCTCTTGGAGTGAAAGATCTATCTGTTTTCAAATAAGAGGAGATTCCTAGAAGACCAGAGAGCCCAGCAAACCCAGGGATACAATGATCCCAAAGTGATACCTGTTGGGGGGAGGCAAATCCATTTCTTTGCTTCTTTGAGGCCCGTGGTGAAATTGGGAATGGATTCCGATAGCACAGGTATGTTTGTTGGAGCGAGTGCCCAAGTTAATCTTGCATATTCGCAGTGAAGAAATATATGTTCTGACGTTTCAAATTATCCGCATCTTTTGCAGGTTGAGTGGAATATAAGGCCTCAAGTTAAGAGGTTTCCACTAATTACGATTGCCCCCTGGATGATTTTCCACAGGAAGACCTTGAGTCTTGGTGAGCATGAAGCAGTCCACACATCTGTATGCCAATTCAGGTCAGGTTCAGGTTGAGAGAGATCTTCTGTGTCCTTTCGTATCTCCATGACAATCTTGTATCCTGATTTTGTTGTGTATGAACCTGTAGGGGTGTCAAGTCATGCATATTGGTCGCTTGCTCCGGTGACACTTGGGTTTTTACACAAGATATCATTGAGTAGATCAGGGAGGAGAGATGACACTTTCTCATAATCCCATTCTGTGGTATGTTCTTTGAAAATGTCAAATACTTTTAGCTTCAAGTGTTCATTTGCTATTGGACCGAAGGGTTTGATTGGTTTCTCTAATGATATCCAGGGTTCTGACCAAATATTCGTTCTTTTGCCATCACCAATAACCTTGCCAAATTTAGCTCGTAAGAGATCTCGTCCTACAAGGATGCCAGACCAGCCGTGGGATGAAACTGATGGTTGGAAAACTTCCAGCAAGTTAGCATGGTGGCAATATTTCCCAAGCAGCTCTCATGATAGAAGGACTTTTGGATTTGTGAGGATCCACCAACTTAGTTTTGCTAGGAGGGCATCATTAAACGTCTGAATGTCCCTAAGCCCAAGTCATCTATCTTTTAGAGGTTTTGTTAGTTTTTTCCATGAAGTCCAACATATATTTTTCGACCCTTGACTGTCATCCCACCAAAAGTGAGTTAACGCTGATTGTATTCTCCTGCAGATACTAGCAGGGAGTTTAAAACAAGACATTGTATATGCTGGGATTGCTGCAAGAACAGATTTGAGCAATGTGAGTTTGCCAACTCCGGGAGAAAACGTGATGAACAACTAGCAGCCCGCTGTCGTATTCTATCCACTATTAAGGTAAACATGTCTTTCTTTCTTCTGCCAAAGTATTCTGGGAGTCCCAGATACTTGCCTTGGCCACCTTCTTTAGTGATCCCCAGTTTGTTTTTCACTCTTTCCTTGGAATCATTTACGGTCTTAGCAGAGAAAGTAATAGAGGATTTCTCAACATTGATTTTCTGACCTGAGGCTAAATCGTATTGTTGTAGGATAGTTGAGAGGGCAGAGCAGCTACGATCATTCGTCTTGCAGAAAAACATGGTGTCGTCTACAAACAGGAGGTGGTTAATCCTCTGGCTTTTCCTAGCAACTCAAATTCCTTGTAAGTTTCCTTTTTCCTAAGCTTGCTTGCATAAGCTAGATAAGACTTCCCCACATAGGATAAACATGTATGGAGAGAGAGGGTCTCCTTGCCTGATACCTCGACGTGGTATAACCATATCTTGAGATGAGTCATTAACCAGATAGGAGTATGAGACTGTATACACGCACTGAGAGATCCACTGTATCCATTTAGGGTGAAAGCCGAGTTTTGATTGAACAAGCCTTAAGAACTCCCACTCGATTCTGTCATAGGCTTTACTCATGTCGATTTTAACCGCCATTGAACAATGTTTCTTTGCCTCTGATGTCTTTAGGAAATGCAGAACTTCATGAGTCATAAGAACATCATCCAAGATAGCTCTCCCTGTTATAAATGCTGATTGATTCTCGGATATGATAATTTGATTAATCCCGAATTTGCAGGAGATTGTGTTCCAGTATTCTGTAAGTTTGTGCCCTGATGGAGTGAGTTGGTTTGATCTTGTTGCCCAGAGGGCCTCTGCGACGTTGGTGTAGATCTTCTTCGAGGGAATTGCTGTATCTGGTGAGCTTTTAATTTCCATGAACTAGCACCCCTGAAAAAGGTGGGGCTTGAATGAATTGGTTTCTTAGCGGGGGGTCTGTCTCTTTTTCTTTTTTGCAGGTTCTAAAGGTTCAGTCGCCTGAGAGGTGTTGATTTGGAGTCCATCGGAGGGAGCCGTCTCCTCGACTCCACTTTTTCCTCTTGAGGATTCACCAACCACCATAGAGCCATTCAGAGGGTTGATCTGGTGTGGAGGGTTTGCAGTTGCTGATGCAGATGCAGATGCTATAAGTAGATATCCATAAAAACTATAGATTCCATAAACTAAAATATTAGTAGATATAATTTTTTCTTTTTTACTGTCAAGATTTTCATAATTTTAATATGGTGGATCTCATCGATCTCCCAAAATCGGCTTCCAGTAGTCAGTATATGGTAAACCATTAAGTTTGGAGCAAAAAAATACTAGAAGTCGAGGCTCATAGAGTAATAGTCATTCTTAAGACTTTTTCTGCAAGACAGACATTTGCTGAGTTATCTGAGTTATCTCATGGCCTGAAACACAATCCATTTAAAGAATGTAGTACGTAGACAAAATTATTAATTCTATGCTCTAATTTGTTTCGATTCAATAGATAAAGTCGATATCTGATCAATAAAATAAATTAGGATCTAGGTTATAAAGCGTTCGTTGTACAGTTTAACAACATTTTATTGAAGGCTACAAATTCAGACAAATTCGCTATCTACTCAAGCCGTTCAACATTCATCAACTAAGCCCTAAATCTCGCGCACTAAACTAATTTCTGTTGATTACTATATTTATATTGGTTCAAGAGTCCAAGACATTGATACATAAGTCTCGACCACAACCTCTTACCTGATATTTCTCTCTCGATCACTTAATATGGTTATTAACCACATTCTGTCCTAAAGGCTCTCCAAGATTGGATGCTCGGCTATCTCTTTGGCTCCGGATATATAAACCTAAAAATCACTTAGAAAATATGGATTTATCTTATAGAGATCAAATAATTGATATGTAGTCTTCCCTGAATAATCATGCATATTTTCAAAGTCACAAATGATAGTTATTAAAGGTAGAGATGTTCTCCTATGGATGATTAGATCTTTAAATGTGATTTCATTGCTTTATTTAGGAATGCGATGTCTGAAAAAAGACATGACCAGTGATGTTCCTACTTTATATCTGAATTAATAGATCTACTTCATATTGTAACTATGAAAAAAATTGTGAATTGGAAAAATTTATGCGTTTACTTTCCGTTTCAATGTAGGCATGAACCAAGAGATTGGTTATAAATCAATAATGAAAATATAGCTTTGAGTTGTGGGATATTTTGGATGATCTTATTTACTAGCCTTTGGCCTTCAACGATACACATTCGAGTTTTTGAGAACAATCTCTCGGATTTTCTAACTCTACTTAACTAAACAATCTAATCGTACATAATTACCATTGATATGCAAAGAAGAGATTTCACATAAATATACAGCTCGTCTTGATTAGGGTTCGTCAATAAAAGATGCCGCAAGATATGAATCCACATACACTCCAATATATCTCTTTAACACAAAATTTCTTTGCAAGAAATGATTGTTCTTGTAATACTGTAATTCCTAAGTCTTATTAGGTTAGATTAGATCGATAGAAGAAGCGACTTTTGAGAGGGAAGAAAACAATTGGTGAACTGGTGATCAGTCAATTACTAGGTTTCCATAAATGAATGAGAATCATTCGAAGTTATCAAAAGTCTAAACCCTAAACCTTTACGCATTTAAATTGGTGAAAATTAAACTAAGTCAGGTAATTATTCGTTTTTATTCTAGTATCTTGGCCATATTCAACTTTTCTTGATTATACTCCCTAACTAACATTTTCATATATATGTGTACTTTTGGGTGCTTTTCATTTGTTTTATTATGTTCATTTATTCTTATTTATACTTACAAATATATATCTCTTTTCAACAAAACTAACAAACCTTCACTTTCAAAATACTGTACAAAATAACAAATTCTATGGTTTAGTTAATACAAAGAAGATATGATGGTTTTCTGTATCAAACTTCATCTAGGGAAGTCTTCTTGTTTCCCATATACACTATTTTTCTCAAACATGGTTCTTGTTTCCCATATACACTATTTTTCTCAAACATGTTACAAATAACACAGAATTGATGGCGCTTCTCCCGCCTATTTTTCACCAACAAGACTTGTTTTTTTTTTTAAGTAGTCCTATAGCTTCTGGATAAATGAAAGAACGAGATCGGTGTGTACAGAGAAGAGTTGTGTATCCAGGAATAGCTGTTCCATCAAAACAACAAAGCCATACAATTAGCAAACTCAAAGTCTTTATCAAACTATTTGAATATCAAGTTTACTTAAAAGGGACTCTCTCACCTTCATAAATTGGCGATGGCGACTAGGAAACGAGTCGATGAAGCTTTCCTTTAAGAGAAGAGACACCTGAACGAAAGAAAGTATCAATATAAATTGCATGATGTCTAAAGTTAGCTAAATCATCTCAAGAGGATAGCAAAACATGTTCATTCTAAAACTGAATAGTAGATGAAAAAACAAACCTTATCATTGTTGGATTGCACATTTGTTATAGTGTGAGACTGCAGATTAGAGCAAAGAGAATCCAGGTACGACCGTAAGACGCTCAGGAACCCTTTTGCAGCTTCAACCTATAGATAATTAAATTGAAACACAATTGATGACAATTGGCTAGAAATAGCATGCGACATGGCAAATCTCCAGAGCAAAGAGAGAATGACTAAGAGAGAGAGTCAGAGACCTGCACATCGGTACATTCATACACTGGTCTTTTCCTTGCTAGATAGGTTTCTCCGACGAGCTTTGAGTGATAAGGACTCAGCGCATTATATAAGTCTCGATACTGAGGCAACTGAGGAATACTTGGTGACTTGACCTGAATTGTCATTAGAAATATAGACCGTGAATACTTGTTCCATCAATATATCTTATGAAGAAGGGACTCGGGTATTGCTAAGAACAATATTTTGTTTGTGTTTTTTATCTTTTTTCAGAAGAACATGAAAAAAAACGGTAACATGTTCATTAGCAGAAGATAATAAGGGAAAAGGTAGAAACTGACCTGGTTCTTAATAACGTCCACGACGATAACATTAGTTAGTTTCGACTGAACTTCACTTGTTCTATTCTTTACCCCGACCTAGAATGACCACAGTTAGTTAAGCAACATTAATAATTATAATACGGATCTTACAACACCGGAATCATCTTCACAAACTCACTATGTAAGGGACTGGGGCATCCAAAAATTCCAGCATATCATCTGGCAAAACCTGGAAATCAAGAACAGCCATTAGTCATACATGGGTTACACAAAGGTTCTGAGTGTATACGCCAAACCGAAACAGGACAATACCGGCATTAAAAGGCTCTGCCACCGGAAGGGACGGATTACTGGGATAAGTGATAGAACTGATGCAGCTAAGATTCCCTATGTATATCACCGAAAATAAAACACTATTAAAGAGGAAAAATACAATCTTTGAAGATTAAGACAGTAAACTCAATAGATGATGTCACAGACTATGCTTTACCAAATTGGAGCAAATAAATACAATCTGTTTCTCAAGCAGTGCTCCTGCTAGGATCATCAAGACCTGCAAAGAAGAGAGAAATATCAGATTTTGAGGTAATTATGTCTAAATGCAGGAACTAGTGCCGGTCGAAAATCAATGGCAGTGACCAGATAAAGAACGCATTAGCATCATCATAAGAAACACTGCAACTTCGAGTCCTCAGAGTTCTAGCATACAATGCATGTGGAAAACCATATGAAACGGATCACCAGAAAAAGAGAATATTAGATTACAAGGAGTTATTAAAGATGATTGAACGTTTTTTTTTTTTAATTATATATCTCTTTTGTATATCAGAATCAGTATCACAGAAACTACATAGTCAGGTCATCATGAGAAGAAAATATTGAAAAGAAAGAAATCACATTGTCAAGTCGCAGTGATCCACACAACGAAGCGACAGCCCATGTAGACAGTGCAGCCGCTTCTTCCTCAGCCATGAGCGCAGTGTGTGCCTGAAGACCAAGGAAGACACGAGTTTCTGGATAGTCATGTATACGTTTCAGGTTGTTATGTAATGCAACAAAATTGTATGACTGTGATATACGATTGGTATAGTACCTCCGCGAGTTCTAGACTAGTACTGCATGATCTTAGGTCACTTGTCGATCCGGGTGTATGTAACGCCGCTTCATCGGGTCTATTATATGCGACTGGATGAAGATGCTCCAAAGGATGAAATGTAATAGTTGAACCTCTTGCCGGGCATTTTAATTGGTAATATTCACATAGTATCTGCAACGACCCATTGTTTTTGGACTGAAAGAGATTTGTTAAGTTCGAGTGTTAGGACTGAGGAGCATGATGATGACAAACACAACATAGATACTTCCAAGATAGCAAAATAGACAAACCATTGCCCACTCAAGGATATCAAGATTACTGCTTGTATCATCTTGACCAGAAAAGGATGCTTCGTCTGTCTCAGTATCATCTGCACTGGTCCTAAAATGCCTCTTCTCGCAGGGAGCAGCCTGAAAGCTGCAAAAAGCATGTTATATGATACGAAAAGTACGCTAACCACTAATGCATTATAATTAAGGATTCTTCCAATGATCGAATCTACAAGAAATGCTTTGCAAATATAATTAACAAGGTCAGAGTTAACAATGTCAGTACTATTAAGCCATAGAGTTTGATGAAAGACGATCCAAAAATCTGTAAAACAGATTTAGGCAATAGTTTTTACGTGCATTGTTATACGTATTTAAGCAAAAGACAGATCAAGGGATTGCTTGTTATGCGACTTAACAGATGAAGGAACGGATTCTGATGCTGTACCTCGAACTAGAATCAGAGACCTCATCTAAAAATGGGCACCGAAGAAGGGGGCCAGGATCTGGTAAACAACTTTCTCCACTTTGCTTAATACTTGACAAGGTATCGTCAGCTTCAGCTACATGGTTGTTAGACTCTGCAAAACACAGCTCGGTTCCTTTTGTAACTGTCTCGACTTTCTGATTCCCCTCACATGTTCCATTATCTGAGATTTCCTCAGCTTCAGGGAGTTCTGAAACTGCTTCTCCAGTTTGTTCATTTGTGTCCGCAGAGTCTCTTTGTTGGGATGATGAATCATTTAAGCTTTCTCCAATACTCAAATCTATTGGGGGTTCTAAAGATGCACAACTAATGCCACTCATCAAATGCTCCAGCCTTTCTTCCAAGAAGATGCTAACATCAAAAAGAGTATCAAACGTGAGAACAGCTTCAAAAAAGCGAAAATTGCAACAAAGAGGATTTAGCCATAAGATATATATGTGTCTCAATGAAATAAGGCATTTCTTGAAATATTCAAGTTGAACATTTTTTTGCGAGATGCATAATATATTATGTGGATTGCATGAAGGCAAACACAGATGTCAGAAGGGAGTCCATACACACCTATTTAACACACCGAAATGCAATTCGAAAAACGGCAGCCTGGTAATGATGCAATAGCATCTGCGAGTTGTCATAACGTAGCGACTTATTGATGAGCAAGCAGGTTGTTTATCCAAAACCGTTGAAAGCAATCTGGACGGCTTGTTCACAATTTCTTCCACTAGTATGCAACATCCATACAAAGTCGAATTATCAGCAACCTGATGAGGAAAAAACATCACAGAAATGAGTCATCCAAATAAAAAAAGCAAAAGAGATACTTTGGCCACGATGATGCTTACCTGCAACCTAAATACAAATGAAAGGTCACTAGGTCTAAGATGTTCCTGCAAAGTTAGCAGCCCCGTCTTTAAATTAGTGTATGCTTGTGTATATAGATATTAGCTTTGTGAACTGAAGTTGATACAATTTTGAAATCCACGATATTTCCCGTATAATACAAAGATGAAGCTTTACATCAGGCAAATACCTGACTGAGAATAATCTCACTCAACTCGCTCATGGAAGGAGTTCTCTCAACAGCATGGACCTGAAACCATTAGTCACCAGCATAAACTTAATAGACACAACTATAAGTATATAAATTACGTATTCCAACATATATATCACAGTTAAACCATCAAGGGTAAAGCGTAGCAGAAACATTTAACCCAGAGAGAGAGAGAGAGAGAGAGAGAGAGAGACCTACTGGACTTAACAACAAACTACCAACACTGCAAAAGACCGTCAAAATTGAGTGAATGCAAAGTGTCTGGTACATACTAGACAAGTTGGATATGCCGAGAACCAACAAAATTTTAAAGTATGACCGCAGTGCGCTAATACTATACCATACAATATGAGGACATTTCAGCTTAGAACTGTAGATACTTTTCTAGAAAGTCAACATATGCATTCTAAACCAGTTTCAGCCTAAGATATAAAGAAAAAATGAATCAAGTACCTCAATGCCTCCAGGAAAGCAAAATGAATGAAGATCCTTGTATTTAATTGGAGGCTGCTTATCAGGAGGGTACACAAGTAAGACCTGAAAATAAAGGTTATATACTTAGCAGCTGGCAGATGAGAGTATATATCTATATAAAACAAAATGATACCTCACCTGAGGTTCGAGAGTGGGTTCTACACGGGAATGATTTTGAGAGACCAGCGCACTTCGCAATCTCCCAGAAGAGCCTTCAGATTTTCTTGCAATGTACTGTCTTTCAAGTGCTTGAATATCACAATTAGGATGAAGTCCAACCACAACAACGCTTTCAAAAAGCCTTGAGGGATCGTTAAGTGGTTTATGATCCTGTTTTGAGACAAGTTAGAGACAACAATGTTTATAGATCCTAATTGCTTCTCTATTAAAGTGATTGCTAGTTCAACTTCCAAAACACATACCAAATACTGGACCTGAATTTTCGCCCATTGACGCTTTTGGCTGGTCAAAACCTCAGGATTGTACACCATACTCTTGGTTTTAGGAGTTTCATAGAAGTTTTTGACCGCCCTCGACACCTGCCTCTGTAGCCTCTCCAAAGGGCTATCACTGGATTCATCTTTCGATGAAAAGACTACAGAAGGCCTAGGTGGGTTTATCGCAGAGGCAGCAGCAGCAAAAGCCATTGCAACATCTTCTGAGGTCTGCGTGAAAAACGACGCTCCCCAGCTCGGACTACCACTTCCTTCCTCATTCTTGGCCATAACTTTACTTCACTGCAAGATAATGAGTAGTATCAGTGATTACAATTACTCAAGGATACAAACTAATAATAGTGTAGAGAAGCTTCATAATACTAAAGAGAGACCATTGCTTAAACTGATAAAGAATCATGATTTTTTTCTTGTTCTTTTTCTTAACATTGTCTAGTTTGAGTCAAACAAGATAGATACTGATAACTGAAGATAACTCGAATTTGAGGAAACATGATTCCTAAATATATAAGACAGTGATGGGTAATGACTTAGAGATTCTCTTCATTCCTTTGTAATAAAATCTCAAGTAATTTCACATTTTCAAGTGTTTGATTAAGAATTATAAGAACATAAAGTACTGAGATTTTAGATCCATCTCTTCAAACACAGTCAATTCTGGAACTTAAAATCAAAAATTAGATCGGAAGGTGAAATTAAGAAAATTAAAAGAAAAAACCAAAAAAGCAAAGCACCCATGAAATATTATTTGCAAAGTATCGTAACTCTCACTCAGACAACAAAAAAAAAGGTACAAAATCCTACGGAATTTGAAGATAATCTATGATAAGCTTAAGGTACTAATATGTGGTCAAGCCAAATTCAACAGAAAATAAAGTAATCAGACACAGTAAAAAGATATACGAAGATGAGAAAAAGGTAAAGAAGATCTCTCACCTATACAAAAACTTTAAGCAGAAATTGCAGAATTTAAAAAAAAAAAAAATGAAACGGATAGCAACGATGGAGGAAGGAGAAGAAATCAACGCTTGAGTGAAAATTGAAACGGTTGTGAAATAAAAACAAAATTAAATTCGTTTCTTCAGAAGAAAAGAAGAAGAACTTCACTATGAGGATGATGACGATCAAGAAGAAAAAGATGATCCTCGTGTTCTTCAGAAAATGAAAAAAGAAAAGAAGGAAAGGCTGCGGAAGACAAAGAGACAAACACGCCGGTCAGTTTATTTTCTTCTTTGAGTAAAGTAAGTTGTCGTTTTGTACTTAGTATCCGCGCATACGCGCAGACTTTTTCCGAACATACAGTATATATTAATCAGTATTGAAGTATTTACTAATCAGACACAAATAGGCCTGAATTTTTCAGTGAAGATAAGTGTCCTTAATCTTCATTAGGGGTTGGGCTAGTTCTTGAAGTAGGCCCAGTTGGGTTAAGCCCATTACCAGCTCGGATATAGTCTCTTCTCTCTCTTTGGTGTGAGTGGTTGTTGAGATCATTGTTTACCCGGAAAATTAGGGTTCATAGGAGAGAGAGTGAGTGAGCGATTGTATTCGGAGATTGTAGCTCGAGTTAAGCTTGATTCTAGTGGATTCCGGATAATCTCCGGTGAGACGTAGGGTGCTAGTTAATGCCCCGAACTCGTTAAATCGTGGTGTTCTTCTTTTCGTATTGCTTTATCTTTCGAGAGTGAATCGAGAGGTTAAACGACTAGAGAGCAAATAGAGTTTGAATCGAAGGCCTTAAGGTTGCACAAATTGGTATCAGAGCGCCAGGTTTGATGCGGGATCAGTTCGATTCAAGATGACGATGAAGATGGAGTTAAAGATCTCGATGTTCGATGGATCCACAGATTTCGGAATATGGAAGAAAAGGATGTTGGCTCACATCACAGTTCAAGGTCTCAAGGATGTTCTCACAGAATCGTCGGAGAGTTCTACCTCGAAAGAAGAAGATGGTAAAGATCCGGAAACGGAAGAAAAGAAAGCTAAAGATGAAGCTGCAAGACTGGAGCGAGACGAGAAAGCACTCAATCTCATCTTCATGGGAGTAAGTGATCATGTGTTAAGGAAGCTGGATAAGTGTACTACGGCAGCTCAGGCATAGGCAACATTGGATCGATTGTACATGGCGAAGACTTTGCCAAATCGTGTCTACACTCAGCTGAAGGTATATGCATTTCGAATGCAAGATTCTCGCTCCATTGACCAGAACGTAGATGATTTTCGGAAGTTAATTGCTGATCTTAGTAATCTGAGTATAGAGATACCAGATGAGGTCCAGGCAATACTTTTACTGAATTCATTACCGTCAAGGTATGATTCTTTAAAGGAAACTCTGAAGTATAGTCGTGATGGGATCAAGCTAGATGATGTGGTTTGTGCGGCCAAATCCAAGGAAACCGAATACAAGGACAAAGATGCAACTAGCTCCAAGAATTCAGGTGAAGGTCACTACGCAAGGGGAAGATCTAAGACGAGAGACAACCATACAGGAAAAGGGAAGAACAACAGGTCAAGGTCAAGATCCAAGGACGGCAAGAAGATTTGTTGGATCTGTGGCAAGGAAGGGCACTTCAAGAAACAGTGCTACAAGTGGCTTGAGAAAAATAAGGGAAAGATTCAAAGTCAGAATAAGGCAGAGTCGTCATGTGCTCAAGACGATGCTCAGGACTTGGTTGGTCTCATCGCTTGTGAGGTCAACATGTCACAAAGTATTGTGGATCACGAAGAGTGGCTGATGGACACAGGCTGTTCATTCCACATGACGCCAAGGAAGGACGTATTTTTTGAGTTGCAGGAGGTCTCCAAAGGCAGAATTTGGATGGCGAACAACACCAGTTCAGAAGTTAAGGATATAGGAAGGACAAGTTTGTAGAATGGAAAAAGATGGTGGAAGTCCAATCAGAGAGGAAGGTGAAAAAGTTAAGGACAGACAACGGGCTTGAGTTCTGTAACTTTAGGTTTGATAGTTTCTGCAAAGAAGAGGGTATAGTTCGACATAGAACTTGTACATATACGCCGCAACAGAATGGAGTTGCTGAGAGGCTCAATCGGTCCATTATGAACAAGGTTCGAAGCATGTTGAGTGAAAGCGGATTGGATAAAATATTTTGGGCGGAAGCAGCGACAACTTCGGTGTATCTGATCAACAGGACACCCTCATCTGCAATTGATTTTGATATTCCAGAAGAGAGGTGGACTTCAGCTGTTCCCAATCTGAGTGGTTTAAGGAGATTTGGGTGTGTGTTCTATGTTCACACGAGTGAAGGGAAGCTTGATCCAAGGGCAAAACAAGGGATTTTCACTGGATACCCAGAAGGGGTTAAAGGCTTTCGAGTTTGGTTACTTGAGGACAGGAAATGCGTCATAAGCCGCAATGTGGTCTTCAGGGAGGATGTGATGTACAAGGACATCACAACAAAGACAGCTCCAGGTAAATCTCAATCTATTACTCTAGTTTCTACTAACAAGTTTGTTAGCCTTGATCTTGCAGGTGAAAACAGGTCCTCAGAAGATTCAGTTCAAGGTGGAGTTTCACAATTGGAAGATACGTCTGAACCGGAACAAGTGGAACAAACTGGTGAATCTGGTACAGAAGGGTCCCAAGACATTTCAGATTTTCAACTTGCTAGAGATAGGGTTCGAAGACAACCAAGGGCTCCGGCTAGACTTGAGGACTACAGGGTCTATAGAGACGAAGAAGACGAGGAGGATATAGCCGGTTATGCATACTATGTAATTGAGGATGGTGGCAGGCCCGAGCCACAAAGTTATAAGGAAGCTATGGAAGATCCATACAGGGATAAGTGGTCAAAGGCTTCAGACGAAGAAATGGAATCGCTAAGTAAGAACAAGACTTGGATTCTGGTTGATAGAGTCAAGATGCAGAAACCGATAGGATGTAAATGGGTTTTTAAAAGGAAATCAGGGATCGTTAGAGTCGAAGGACCGAGGTTCAAGGAAAGGTTAGTTGCCAAAGGGTACTCGCAGAAGGAAGGAGTGGATTATCAAGAGATTTTTTCTCCGGTAGTGAAACATATTTCGATCAGGCTTCTTCTGTCAGTGGTGGTACATTTCGATATGGAACTTCAGCAAATGGACGTGAAAACGGCTTTTCTCCATGGTTACTTGGATGAGACCATTTACATGGAACAACCGGAGGGGTATGTGGACAAGCGGTATCCGAATAAGGTTTGTCTACTCAAGAAGTCCTTATATGGGTTGAAGCAGTCTCCTCGACAATGGAACAACAGATTTGATGATTTCATGAGAACGAGTGGTTACATCATAAGCGAATACGATAGTTGTGTATACTTTAAGGTGCTGAAGAATTGAGACTATGTGTATCTACTTCTTTACGTAGATGATATCTTGATTGCTTCGAAGAACAAGAAGCAGGTTGGTGAACTAAAGGCGTTGCTAAGCTCAGAGTTTGATATGAAGGATTTAGGCGAGGCCTGGAAGATTCTAGGAATGGAAATAACAAGGAACAGATCAAAAGGTACTCTTACTATTTCTCAAGAGGGGTATCTATTGAAAGTTCTTGGCAATTTTGGGATGGATCAGGCTAAGCCAGTAGCTACGCCTATGGGGATTCATTTTAAGTTGAAGTCGGCTACGGATGACGAGCTGAAAGTACAGTCGGAAGTGATGAAAAAGGTCCCTTATCAGAGTGCTGTCGGGAGTATTATGTACTCGATGATAGGGACAAAACCTGACCTGGCATATGCTGTTGGTCTGGTCTGTAGATTCATGAGCAAACCGTTAAAGGAACATTGGTCAGCTGTTAAGTGGCTTCTCAGATACATAAGAGGGTCATCTAAGGTTAAGCTGCGTTTCAGGAAAGATGGAGAGTTCATGGCTAGAGGTTACTGCGATGCAGACTATGCTGCTGATTTAGACCGAAGGCGTTCGATTTCTGATATGGTTTTACGGTTGGAGGAAATGTCGTCAGCTGGAGGTCGAGTCTTCAGAAGGTAGTGGCATTATCTACAACCGAGGCAGAATATATGTCGGAGCTTGGATTTGAGCAAGGACCAGTGGATATCTACTGTGACTCACAGAGTGCGATAGCGTTAGCTAAAAATGCTGTCCACCATAACAAAACACGTAGATACCAAGTATCACTTCATCAGAGATCTGATAGCAATGGGTTTAGTTCGAGTGCAGAAGATTGCAACTGCCTACAATCCAGCAGACATTTTCACCAAGACCTTACCAGTTGGTGAATTTCAGGAAGCGTTGGAGTTACTGAGAGTAACATCTGACTGAGCAGGTCTATGCTTATAACAGCTGAGTGGGTTTACTCAGGAGATTGGAAGCTGCAGAGTGTTGCAGGGGCTTCAAAGTTTTCGAAGGATGAGCGGGTTTGCTCATGACCGGAGGTGTAGTTCACGATGATGAATCAAGCGTGTGAAGATGAAGGACAAGGTGGAGAATTGAAGATAAGTGTCCTTAATCTTCATTAGGGGTTGGGCTAGTACTTGAAGTAGGCCCAGCTGGATTAAGCCCATTACCAGCTCGGATATAGTCTCTTCTCTCTCTTCGGTGTGAGTGGTTGTTGAGATCATTGTTTACCCGGAAAATTAGGGTTCATAGGAGAGAGAGTGAGTGAGCGATTGTATTCGGAGATTGTAGCTCGAGTTAAGCTTGATTCTAGTGGATTCCGGATAATCTCCGGCGAGACGTAGGGTGCTAGTTAATGCCCCGAACTCGTTAAATCGTGGTGTTTTTCTTTTCGTATTGCTTTATCTTTCGAGAGTGAATCGAGAGGTTAAACGATTAGAGAGCAAATAGAGTTTGAATCGAAGGCCTTAAGGTTGCACATTCAAAAAGGGTAATCCGTCCCGTTCCGCACCTATCCCAAAGTTCCTAAATTTTTTCGAGAAAGGAAAATTGTAATTTTCCATTCCAATTTGAAAATAATATTTGAATGGGTAAGGAAAAGAGTAGGGACGGGAATAAGATTATCCGAACTTTCCGTTGGATAGTTATATAAAGTGAAAGATTTTGGTTAAGTAAAACTTTTTTATAATAAATATTGATTTTTTTCCAATTTATTAACAAATAATAACTTTTTTTTAATAAATATTAATTTTAGTCTAATTATCCGAATTATCCGAACTTTTTTCTGTCTCTTTCCTGATTATATTTTACTTTGGGATTGTATAGATAATATGTTTTGTTTTGCGGATTTTCCGTTCCCGTCCTATACTCGTA